AACCGCGATTGTCCGAATTGGGAACGAGATCTCTGGGATCAGCGAGAGTTTAACGTTAGAACTACGCATACTTCTTCGAGAAATCATTAGCGCGTTAGGATTCAAGCAAAAGATGCACATCGCGATATTATTTCACTTTTCTTAATAATAATAGCCAGAAATTTGACCGAATAACTTGTTGCTTTTCGTACTACATGTCCAGCGAAACCATAGTTTCGCTTAGAATATTTTAATATACTTCATTCAAATTATATTTATGTTTCAATCTTGATACTGCTGGTCCAACGCTGCGTTTAGCGTATCAAAGAATCCGATTCAGTGATACCCAAGCTGAAATGGAGATCAATGAAAACCGTTCAGGTTCTAGAAATCAATTCGAAAAAGAACATTCAACAGCTGGTTCTAGCGTTAAATAACCGAGTTGCGAATAATCGAGCTGTCGCCACGCGTCGACTCGAACGGTCTCGCCGGAGCCGGCGGCGAAATTAACTAGCGGCCAGCGACGATGTCCGTTCGAGCGACGTTTCAACGTAAACACCGGTAAATACTGGCGAAACAGTCGGACCCGACGTCGGAAGATTCTAGCCGGCGACCGCGCTATTCCAGGCGGCGGATCCGTGGTCGCGTGGGCGCGTGCACCTGCCGCGGCCGCGTGTTTTCCTCGTGAAACGGTTTGACGCGGCCCGCCGTTCGCTGTCGTCGATCGAGACGCGTCCGCGCGTCGGTTCCTCAATGAACCCACGAAAATAGTCGCGCGCGCAACAAAGTGGCGGATCCTCTCGCGCTAGCGCGGCGCACAGTTAATAACGGGTAATTGGGCTTATTATCGTATCCGTTTAGAGGTGAATTATGACCGCAACAGCCAGGGAATTCGATCAGAATTACGGTGTACCAGCCGCGCGGCCGCACAAATGAATATCCTCCCCCGTTAATCTCGTCACGAATGATTGATACCGAGGCTCGGTTAACGAGAATCTAATACGAATTTTTCGAACACCACTCCGCCGGGAGCTCCATCCAGTCACAAAAGGAATCGTTGAGCGGCCGCCGCGTCCTCGCCAATGGAAAATGCGATACGGCCGTCCAGGGATCGTTTCATCCGCTCGAAATCGTCCGTCGCGGGAGCCGCGCTTTCCAAATAACCGTTCAAATCGGAATCCCGAGGAGGCGCCGCTCTTCTCGGATCCTCCCCTGATCATAAATTACCGTGGAAGCTCGATTATCCTGTCTAATTAGGCTAACAGTCCGGATGAATGGAGACTCGAGAGGTTCCCGCGATTCCGCGGAACTTCAGCGTACAGACGATCTAAGAATCCTATAATTCAGAATTCAACTCGCACGGGAACCTTCTCAATCACTAATTCAATGATTCAACAATGAATCAGTTTTTATTTAAAGATAATAAGCGAACACGTACAAGTGATCGACACGGAAAGAACAACCACGTTAACTTGTTTCATTAATATTCTCATCGAGATTGAGATTTTCCCTTTTACTCGACGATCATTTCATCCAATAAGATCCATAGATGGCTGTCATTGCCAATTCTGTCTCTAATAAGTTTCCTCGAAAGCGGCTGGTCGAAAAGGTTCCCTTGTCGGTTTGAATCGAACTTAATCGCGCTTTCCGCTCGATCGCGTCGCGACAGGAAAGGGCGCGGAGAGCGATCGTCGGATCACGATTCCCGCGACGGGGTGAGTCTTGATTACCGTTTTCCTTCGATCCGCCGAATCCCTGCGCGGCGCGGGTCACGAACAAAGGAAGTCCGCGAAGAAAGAGTTAATCGCGGCTTCCTGCCGCCTGTCCCGTCGGCCAGCGGACGCGGGAGACCGGCGGCAGCGCGAAAAAAGGGGACGGCGCAGCGGCTCCGTTTGTAAAATTGCGACGCGCTTCCCTTGAAAGGGGGCTTTAATCAAAACTTCGCGAGCCACGCGGAGAAAGGGAGGCAAAAAGAGCCGGGGAACGAGCACAGTCCTAGTTTTTTTTCTGCTCGCGCGCGACCTCCGCTCGCCGGGCGTCCGCGAGGCTACCGGCGATCGCGAGTTGTCCGTTGTCGCTCCGACGGGGCGGAGTTCGACTGTTCATCGACAGCTCCTGTGAACGCGGAATATTTTAGGAACTGTGGATTGTCCGCGACAAACGCTGCAACTACGGTCAACGGCCAAAGAAGATACAGGGAAAAGTCGGCGCTGAAGGTTTATGCTAACCCTTTGCACTCCGAGCAATTTTGATGTGACCCTCAGCAACTCGTCATTACAGTGGCGCGGCATCGTGTTTTGTCACTGAAAGAGAACGCTTATACATTTTAACGCTCAGGCAACCGTCTGAAAAGGACTATGACTAGAACCTTTCTCATTATCTTCAGTTGAACTTATTTATCTGATTATATCAAGACCTTTGTCTTATAACAGCAAGATGTTTGACAAATTACAAACAACTCGAATTCAAGACTAAACAATAGAGAAAAAGGTGAACCGAATATGGCAACGCGTTGCTAAGGAAAAAGTGGGAGATCTCATTGGATTGGCTAAGTGTTGATGTTGTTTTGTTAATACAATTGCAATATAACAAGTACAACGCTATGGGAAGCCATTTATAAATAATAGAATTGTTCCTGCATGCCGTCGCGACAACGGAGTGCAAAGGGTTAGCTGTAAGTTTGACAATAAACTCGACCGTGAACTGGAAACGCTCTAATTTCATTCGACTGGTGATATCGCATTCAGCGACAGGCAAAAAGATCGGAACCCCCCGGCGTTCCTCTTCGAACGAGGGCAAACATCGGCCGAGTAAAATCCGAAGCTGCCCTTTATCACGGTGTCACGCCGGAAACCGCAGCGAGTTCCCGGCGACCTGGCCGAAATTCGGCCCGCGCCAATTACCGTGCACGGAACGCGTTTCGCCCCCTTTGAAGCGTATTTCGGGCTTTCCGTTACGCGCAACAATGGCGCGCGCCGGCTTTCTTTGCGCCATTATGCCCAGCCGTTGACGCTCCCGCTATTTTCTGGCCTCGCGAGACGACCGTTAAGGCGGATTCGCATGGCGCCGACTTCCTCGACAATGGGACCTTCGAGCTGGCAAGTTTTCTCGACCACGGGTTACTCGAATTCGATTTCTCCTGTTCGTCAGCTGGATAATAATTACCGTGAACGTTCTAACTCACTCGAGATAGCGAACAGGGATCAACGAAGATGTCCAGTGATCTCGTGGAGGACTAATTCGAGGAAATCTCTTCTTCTTTACGAAGCTTCAACGCGTTGACTCACTTTGAAATCGGCGATGGACAAGCAATTCTTTTGTTTCCGTGAATCAGACGATTCTCAGGAGTTCGATCAAGATTTTACACTTTCAGAATAGAATTATTTTACAATACTAAAAATACGACAGTCGTTTCCATTTGCACCTACATTCAGCAGTGGACAGCTGTAGACATTTACGTGTCAATGAAATTCATCACCGAGGACGAAGAAACTCGTCAATATCATGTGATTTATTTATCACTGTTCCTCAAACTTGATGCTGTCTGTCCCTAAGCCCCGTTCAACCTGTTAACGCAACCTTCGCTGCATTATACACGAATCGTGCTCGAGGCTTCACGGTGCTATCGAATCCTTATCAGCGAGACCACGGAACGGAAGAAGATAAAGAGGAGCGGAGGACCAACGACGGTCCCTTCCCAACGAGGAAATCCTGGCCTCCCCGACGGCCAAAGAGACGACCGAAGTCTGGTGAAAATATTCAGCGACCAAGAGCGAAGCAAGGTAACGAGGTTCAAGGATCGTCGCCGGTCGTCGATAATTACGGCCAGCGTTTCTCAGCCCGAACTTCGGCCGGAGTTTCACTCGGCCCGGCTGAACAGTCCCGTTGGGAGTCCCTGGCGCGGATCGATCGAAGACAACTTTTGGCTTCGGATCAAGAATGCCGGGTCGAGGATAATTGCATCGTAGAAGGGGCAGCGCGAAAAAATTAGAGGCCGCAAATCGAAGTCTGCGAGGTATCGGCGATCGGACGGCGACGAATGTCGCGGCCGGGGAACTGATTAAACAACGACGGCCCGTTCATTACTTTTCTCGTTTCGCCGGTGCCGATCCATTGCACCGCTTCCAGGAAAACTTCGCGCGGTATTCGTCCGCCTTGGAGACATCCGCGCAGCGTTTCTCCGCGAGTTTCTTCTACGCGCGGCGTCTCCGGAGACTTCCGAGCGTTTCACGTTCCTTTCTCAACGGATCTTCGACACTGGATCTACCGGACAGATCGAGAAGCTTGTTTCTGACTCCATTCGCGATTGAAAAGGCGAAGCTGATTTTCAACTCGCGCAAGCTATAACAGAAGTCGGAATCATAAACGCAGTTTCACGACTTCTATGGTGGAATAATATTCTGCTGGAAAGAACTGCTCGGTAGTTCCAGCGACAAAGTTCTTCTTGATTTCTGGCTGAAGAGTAAGGTGCAAAGAGCGGCGGAGAAATCGCGGATCGAACAGCGATCGCGTCTGACGCGCGACTCGTCCCGATGCGAGAATACTCGCGATCTTACACACACCAGACTGCATGCACTACTACGAATAGATCTAGATCCAACGAAGCTTCCAACGGGAGACTACGGGTACGCTCGAACGCTTGGTACTTTGGGTGCATCGGGCTTGGTTAACCTCTCGCCTCGCGATTCTCTGTTCGTTCGAATGTATCTGGCGAAATCATTCGTTCGCGTGCCGGGAACTTTGAAAAATTTCAAGAACCATTTGGAAAGATTGTTTATCATCGTAATGGACGCGGCGTCGCGTCGATTGGGAGAACCGCGACGCGATAAACAATCGAATCGAGGTGCATCGCGGTGGGAGCGAGGGGTTAAACCGTCCAAGCCGTCCGCGCGGGTTACCAGAAGTTGCTCCGAGCATCGTGGCAACCTCCAGCCTTCGCGAAGCTTTCCAGAGAGACTTTTAAGAGGCTTCTACCGGTGTAATCGAAAGACGCGACAGCTTGTTATCACGTAGTCACTTACCAGTTCTCCAGGATGCCGACGTTCGAGAAGTTCGGTGGAAAGCTCGCGGCCGCCATCGGTGGTCGCGGCTGCGCCCTGTCCGTCCTGTCACTTCCGGTGTTCCTTAGAGTTGCGACGCGTCGCTGGAATCAGAAAGGACCGCATTAAATCTTCCGCTTGCCTTTGACGCTGTCCTCGGGCAAGGTGTGTTCTTAACGCTGGGGTAGGGACATTTGTTCTGCAGTTTATTCCATTAACCTCCTGGCTACGCCGGAATATTGCGTTAACGCGTATCTCTAAGGAACTGTACTGAAACCATTTCTTACATAAACTTAAGTATTAACTCTTAGCACTCCGGGTTGTTTTGTAATCTATCAGCAACTAATTTTTATAGTATTCCTAGGGAAAATGAGAAATGCTATCGATCTTTTATTCTCCTTAGTACAAAATTCGGATGTGTAGAAAATCGAATAATTTTAGGGTAGTTTCTTTAAGATTCGTTAAAATATTTAATGTTACAACTGGTGCAATATCGGAGCTTACAGAGTTCAAAGGGTTAATTTTTCCGTTGATGCATCGAAGGAATTGAATTTTGTTCGATGCATGAGACACAAGAAGGATAAGTTTCATAAAAAAATCTGTACTGTACAGGTGTTTCGCTGAGCGTTTATTCGGTTAAACCGTTAATGGTTAAAAAACGATCAACGTATTCGCGAATAAAACCGACGCAAGGGGCGAAAGAAAATTGCAGACGAATAGAAACTAACGCCTCGTCTCACCTCGTCTACTCGCAGTCCACGCGCGACAGTCGAATCGAGTTCCTCGGGACGCGAAACTCGGAAGATTTCGGACTCGCCCCGATTTCTAGAACACCCGATAAATGACGAGCGTTCGTTACAGGAGCGCCGGGGAACGCGATGCATCCCCATTCACCGCGACGATCCGTGGTCTCGTGGAAATGCTCGCGAGGAAAGCTCGCGGCCGCGTCCGCCGCCTTCGACGCTCCTCCTTTCTCGCATTATTATCTTTCTACTTTCGGTCGGGTCTGCGTCGCACCGGCACCCGGTATCGGTAATGAACGATCTATTGTGCTGGTGGGTGCTCTTTCAAACAGCGAGAGAGACGAGCGGGACCGAGAGAGAGAGAGAGAGGTTCTCCGTTCGCTGCCGACCGAAAAGAGGAACAGACGGGGAAAGAGAGAAAGAGGAGAGAGGAGGGGGGTGGCATAGAAGAGGTATGAAAACGGCACTCGTTAATGGACTCCCACCAGACTCTCTCGCCGAGCCAGGCCCACCCGTTCTCCTCCCTATCAGTCGCTTTCTCCATCCCTCTCGCCTACTTTCATTCTACCCACCCCCAGCAGCCCCCACGATTCTTCAGGCATTCGCGATTCGCTCGCTGGCTCGCCTCGGTCCCGACGCGACGCGTCGCGTTCCTTCATCCGTCCGGGGGGCCGTGCCTCCCCTTTATACGGCCGAAACGGCCGCCGCTGGATTCGTTACACGCGTAAGTTCCCGCAAAGCGCGCGTGTCATTATCCGACCTCTTTGACGCGGCTTTCTATGCTCGCCGGGCGCGGCGAGATGAACGTCCGCGGTGACCGATGACCGGAGCTTCCAGCTGCTTGCAATTATGCGGGCGGGCTGCTGTCGAATAACGATCTTCGGTAACGCGATTAACAGGTTAGCGTGAATGCCGTCTATATCTGTGGAACTAGCTAATGACGGCAATGGCTGTCTTATGTTGTTAGTTATAGAGAGAAGAATATAAAGTATGGAATCTTGGAACTGTTGGACGATCAACTAATTAACGAGAAGAGAATTGCTTTCGTTGTCCATCCACGATTTCAAAGTGAGCGTCGCGTTAACACATTGCCCGCAATAATGCGAGATTTTTAGTCCATCATTTAAAAGATCTACATTAATGCAACATTTTAGAAAATAAAATTACAAAATCGAATTCATTATTCTTTCTTGTAAGTTAGAAATTCTGGTTTGATTGAGGTTTAAAAATATATTAATATAATCATCGACTCTCGCGTTTCTAGTAGCTGCAATTTAGCCGACGTGTTAAGATAGTAGTCCAACGAATCTCGCGATACGGAATAATTGTTTTTAATAGCCTCGGTGTGAGAGACAGACGTTGTAAATTGTTTCGTGTATCTGCTACGAGAGAATAAGCGATACGACGTCGAACGATCGAGATCTTCGTTGCTGTCGAACGTCAACGAGCTCACCTGGACGTTCGATCGCTTCGGGGAGACGCGGAGGAACGGTGGAAAAGAATTATCGGGGCAGCAATGGACGGAAAGAACGGTTGACGAGGCCAAGATTTATCTGCGAAAATAGTGCGGTTTGAAAGGAGCAGGGGGAGAGAGGGAGACGGACGCGGGAACGAGGAAAAAGAAGGACGGAGGGTGGGAAGGGAGAATTGTTACCGAGAGGAACTGCTTTCTCGGCAATGCTCCGGGCTGGTCTCGTGTACGGTCCATTGTTCTGCGTTCGGACCGGGTCGATATCGCGTGAAAATCGTAACGAGATTCTATTTCGAAACGGCGATCGCGCGACGTGAATCGACGCCCACTCGATGGGAACTTTAAACGTCTGCGAACGACTGTCGATCGAGAGCCGTTCGTTCCGTCTGCGCGAAACGCGGAGCGTTTCACCGAATCGTGGAGTCCAAGATGAACCTTCGAGATGAAACTTTTATGTTTGTAATACCACGTTGCAGAGAAACGATTGAACTCGAACAATAATAAACCAGATCCTTCGTTAATCTCTATTATTTATGCATTCGATATAATTCGGCGGAATATGTAGGAGTTGTATACTCTAAAGAATCTTCATCCGCAAAGGGTTAAATCGAATGAAATTGTTTAACGGCGTAAGTAGCTAGACAATCGCGTAACACGATGCCTAGTAATTAAGAATTGTTTCCATTTACCCGTGGAGCAGGGAAATAAACGATGTACAAGCGTAAGAAACGGGTATCGCGATACGAACATTAAATATCACGTTCGTGCTGAAGCGAGACGACTTAATAATCGTGTAATAATCCACGCACGGCGGTCGCTCCGATCGTCTTTCTCGAGCGGCGACCAGCGCCGCTGAAATATCCGTCCGAACGCGTCGCGTGTTAGCATTTCGCATTTTCGTAATTGCCGTTCCTCTGGAAAAGAATAGGTCGATACGCAGTCGGGCGAGCCGCGGCAGAGGCGATAAATAATCGCGCGCGGACAACGGTTTTGCATAAACGTTTTCGCGGAGCTCGTATAACTCGCGCGTGCCGCATGCAAATTCCGCGGGAGTCGGAATGTTTCTCGGCGCGATCCAAATTAACCGGCTAATGGGGAAATTATTTGGCCGATTGCTCCGTTCCGCGTGATAATGAACGGATCATCTCCAGAGTTACGCGGGAATTCCGCGCCGGTCGTGCGGGATCGTCTTCGGGGCGGGGAGGATTAATCCTTGATTAGCGCGGTGTAAATTATCGCGCGGCGTTCCTGACCCACTTCGCTCGAGAGCCGGCTTTCATATTGGACCCGCCGAAAACTGGGGATCATCCGCGGCCGGCTCGTTCCTCGCTCGTCAACCGATTCGCACACGTAACCCGGGACACCGAGTCGGAGATAAAACCAACGATTTTAAGCGGAAACGCGTGGAATGCTTCGCAACGAGAGGTTCGAACTGCGCTGTTCCCCGGTCGGTTTCTTTCCGAGGCACCCTGGAACCGATCGGAGCCCGCAGGATTAATATTCTCGGCTCTTAAAAGGAATTAGAAGAGGAATGAGTGTTATTACCATGAAATTCCTGCATGAAACATCGAGAAATCTCGATCGCCCCGGCACACGGGAACGTTTAATGCGACGAACAACGAAGTTACAAGCTCCCAGTCACGGAATATCGAACCGCGATCGTTCGCGAGAAGCGTTCTAGCGAGAGCCTCGAAAAGTCGTCGGCTCGCCGCATCGACAGCCGCGTCGACGAGAAAAAAAAAGGGAAAAAGAGGAGAGGAGGAAAAAAGAGCGAGGCTCGAAGGGAGCGCCGCTAATTAGCGGGAACATCGGGAAACGCTGGGAAAATGCTGGAAACGCGAGAAGCGACGGGACCGGCCTCGGAGAAAGCGACAGCCACGAAATCCGTTGTCATCGATCGCCGGCATTGTCCGCCGCCATTGTTCGACGGCTCGCGCATCGCTGATAACGACCAAGCGATTCGCGTTTCGCTTTTCGCGTTTCCCAGCATTATCTTCGCCGGATGCCCCGCGCGACGGGGACCGAGAGGCTCTTTGTTCCCCCGCCGCTCGATCGATCGCTCGATCGTTTTTCCCGGGAAAATCGAAGGAAGCCAATTTTCGTTTGCTTCGTTCCATCGGAAACGGAAGCCAAAATAAGGGGACAAGAACGAGACCCGCTTTATTTCCATATAATCCGAAAGCGTCGTTCCATTGTTCGATTATCAATTTATATTTCACCGTAGATCCGCGTCCACGTGACGGGGAACCGAGCAAAAGGAACGACGGGAGCGAAGAAAAAGAAGCATCGTTCTCTTCGGCGAACGGAGCGAAGGTTGCGCTATCGCGGAGATCGAGGAAGCAGCGAGGATAAATCGGGCGCGAGTTCGACGACGCGAGAACATAAATCCCCGTCGCGAGGCAAAGAAACCCGGCGAGAAGTTCGATAATTCGTATTCCCCGTAACTCGGTTTGTAATTCGCTCGCGCGCGGATTCTCGCCGAGCCGCGGGAACTTCCGGGAGCAACTTCGCCGAATCGAACGACACACGTACACGCTCGCGGGAACGTGGAAGGGAGGAACGGAGAGAAACAGAGAGAGAGAGAGAGAGAGCACCGCTCTCGGGTTAATTAACATCCTCGCAGACGAGCAAAATCGATGCGGCAAATTCACCAATGAAAAAGCGATTCCCCAACCCTCGCGTAGCGCCGTCTTCGTCGGCGTTGTCGCGTGTGCGCTCCTCGATGTCGTTAAAAAATGAATCAGCCGGCGAGCGAGCGAGCGAGCGAGCGAGCGTATTCGGGCTAATTGGGGATAATCCAGCTTCTTTTTTCGACGGGGCGTGCCCTGTTTCGACGGCTCCGTCGCGGACTGGCTCACCCCTTCCGCTTTACGGGACACGGATCCGCGAA